TATCCATGGATCCATAAAAATCAATGCCTTTCATAGCCCATAATCTTTCTTCAATCATACTCATAGCTTGATCGATTTTAGAGTCTTCTAAGGACGTAAGCCGTACACAATTTCACTTTTTCTTTTATCTTATCCATTTTAGGAATTTGGATGGGCTCATATGCCTTTTCAGTGAAGACATGATTGGTATAACTCTAAACATTCCTTTGATCGGGTACATAAGACATTCTATAATTTAAGAATATGGTCTGTTGTGGCTGAAAACTTGGAGTGATTTGGGTTTAATGTAGACCAAAACCTGATGGATATGGTGATTCAGTAACTTCATGCAAACTATTTTCTTTACCTCTTTTCCTTTGTTTATCTTTTCTAAAATGTCCAAAATCTTGCTTAATTTTCCCTCAAGTATCTCATGGGCCTTTTTTATCCTTTTAAAATGATTTGTATTGTCCTGTTCCATTTTTTTGGCTCTAACCCGAGTATAATCCTAGTGTTAAGCTATGCTCAAACCCTTAATTTTCCACAATATGCAAATTCAAAAGGATGTTTATGGAACTCTCAAATTATGCATGAGAATGAATGCAAAAACATAATGCACAAATGCTATAAGGAGAATTTACCACATAACAATTATTATAAAAGAAAGTCTTTATTGAATTGAATGTCAAATTTAACTAAATCCAACATTACATCTATGAAAAGTCTAGAGCTACTGGGAAAAAAATTCATAACTCGTTGATACTAGCTTTGCACTTTATTAAGAAAATCCATCAATTTTTGACCATGTGCTTTCACTGGTGGTACCCTTGCTTTCCACTTTTCAATCATTTCTACCATGTCATTGGCTTTGTAAACAACCACAATGATTCAGTACTACAAGGACTTCAACTAGTTATGTTTTTGCACATATGCTTTTTTCATTTGCTGACATTCTTTAGTCATGGCCTTCATTTGTGCTTTAATTCCCATTGCTACTTCATTTAGCATATGGATATGCTTTTGGGCTTCAAGGAGCATTGTATCCTTTTTTTGTAGTTTTGCTTGCAATTATCTATTTTCTTGCAAAAGTTGAGCCACTTTTTGGTTAATGGATGACCGTGTTGTATTAAGGTCAATGCATAAACTCCTCTACCCATCCTTTTTTGTTTCAGTGTTTGGATTTCCTTTTTTAGCTGCTTGTTTGCAAGTTTTCAACTTTTCATATTCCCTTTTTAGGCCAGTAGAGGACTTTGCTAGGCTTTTCATTGATGTAACTGAGATTTTTCTTATTAAAATTATTTTGTGGCAATTAGTCCTTATGATAAATACATGTGTGATAAAAGAAAAAGATTAGCAAAAATAATATACAAAGACCAACACATACAAAAAGAAAAGACAATACTTAGTGTTACGATTAAACAAACATCTAATCATGTGTCTTATTTAAGATTTTCTAACACAGAGGAAGGCATGGCTCTATCTAGGTATGGACCTTTAGGGTTAACTATATGTGGCTTTGATTACTTCTAGAAGGTTCCCAAATTGTTCCTTACATCATTGTCCATCATAGATTAGTAGGGCACCGTGATTCTCACCCATTATAGGTTTTAAGCGAAAAGGGTTCAATTTGAGTGGGAGTGTTTCGTAGGTCCATACTGAGACATGAAATCTCACGAAAGCATAGATATTTCACTCCCTCATAAAAGTAAAGCTCAGGTGGAGAGCTTTATGTTATGCATATGCAAATGAATGACAGATATATACAATAAATAAATAAATTACTAAGAAAATATATTGAAGTAAATAGAAAAAAAATAATCCTAAATTTATTAGGTAAGGCTTGGATAATAAGAAATCATTTACTAGCTTGACTCTCAACGTCCTTAACGGAGTCGTTAACTATCATAACGTATAGATCCGTGGACCTACTACTAGACATGGGTTAGAAGAGTTACTACCAATATTTTTTGCTTATGTATGATTGGCCACCTGAAACAGATTCTAATCTATGAAACCAGATTTTAGATTTGGAAATATGATTATATGTAAGGAAGATTATAATATCCTTACAACACCTATCCAAAAGATGGTATCAATTTGATGTCAAATTATCCAAGTATTAAACATGTTTATATTTTACCAAAATATTTAATATTGAAAATTAATCCTAAAATTATCTCAATAGTTTGGTAACAATTTAAGATAATTCTCTTACCTCAAGAGTATTCATGGGGACTAGTATCCCATCCTGAAGAGGTTCCGTCATCGGATTTATTATAATATTTTATTTAAAAAATTAGTAAAGTGTCCAAATAGTTTGGTTGAACTTATTTTAAAGCAGATCTCCCAATAATTTAGTGAGATTTTTATTCGAAAATGTTTATAAAAATTTTATTCTTTTGAGAAAAATTCATTAAGTCTCCAAATAGTTTGGTAGAACTTAATTTAGAAAGCAATCCTTTAATCATTTGGAGGATAAAAACAAAATTATATTATTATATTTATTATTATTAATTTTTTTGAAAATTGATTTATGAAATTTTCCAATAGTTTGGTGAATTCCATAAATTTACTTGAAAAATATTTACTTTTTATTTTTTATTTTATTTTTTAAATTTATTTGAAAAGATTTTTTTTCTTTTTTGAATAAAAATAAAATTTTGGAAAATATTCAATAAAAATAAATAATTAATAAAAATAAATTAAATTAAAAATAAAAAATAAAAAAATCATAAAATAAAAAGAAAATAAAAAAAAACCTGCGCTTCAGGTCGAAACAACATGCGGGTTAATGTGCAGGTCAACGGGTCAGAGCACGGATTTGGGTATGCAGAAATAGCATGTATTAGGTCCTTATAAAGGCCAAGTTCAACATTTTAACCTTAAAATTCCCTTGGTCTTTTCTCTTTGTACTCGAATTCTCCATGCCCTCTCTCTAAAAATCCCAAGAACACCCACCAAAAACTAAAAATTCTTGTCGGTTTCTGAAAAATCTTATCAAAATCTCATCAAAAAATTCCACCTCGCTAGAAAATTCAACTAAAAATTTCATATATTCATCGAAAAATTCATCCTAAACCCAGATTTTTCAGAAAATACCTAGAATTCTCTCATATTTCCCAGATCGCTTCAAAAACCTCCTGGAAACTTAATCCTAACCTCGAAAACCTAAAATCGAACCCAAAACTTCAAATCAATCCTAGAATCCCAACAATCAAAATTCTCAAAACCTAAAACCAAAAGTCCCAGAAACTGAAAATTCCAAAAATTTAATCACTAGGTACTTTCACTAAATCCATCGTTCCTCTTTAAAATCCACTTTGTTGTTTCTCTGATCTTTAGTTCAATTTATAAGCATCCTTAGGGCAATCTTTAAGAAATAGACAGAACCAATCCCAGGCTTAAATCCTAGGAATTAGATTCTATCCAAGAACACTTTTAGGTTTATGATTTGATCCTAATTGAATTTACAGTTACCCTGACTTAATTTTGCATTAAAAACCTTTAACTATGATAGAATTATGATATAGCTGATTCAGTTTCCATTTCCACAATTCTCACAAGAAATTAAAAAAGAAAGGAATGAAGAAAATAATAATAATAATAATAATAGTATAATATACTATATTAACAATAATATAATAAAATAATAGTAACAAAAATAATGACAATAATAAAAATTGCTTCGATAAAACCCAGACATAGATGGGTGTCTACAATAAGAAAAAAGAAATATGGCTTTGAAGTGTGAGAAATGCTATCATAAAGGCAATTATGCTCATAGAATACAATAAAGTCTTAAAAAACTCTCCAAATCAAAAGTAATAAAATTGGTCAGACAGAAAGATCTATTTATAATAAATGAACAGTCATCAATCAAGCCAATTCAAAAAATCATGATATTATGTATAATCATGTTTTTATGTTTAAATAAACTTTATTTAAACAGTCATGTTTTCCTGTTCATATATGTTTGTTTGGACCATCATGTTTTTCTCTATTCAAACATGTTTATTTATAATAAAAATAAATTTTAATAATATTTTGAAATAAAAAATAAAAGATTTAAAAATTAAATCTTTTTACTAAATAAGCTCAAGTGCCATGTGTTCAAGTGCGTATCTTTGATTTTTAAAATTATTTGACCCATTAAGAAAACTCTTAGTAAGCCTAAATTACTTAGTCTACTCCAACACTTAATTTAATTACTTAAATAATTACTTAAATAACATAAGTAATCTCTTTTAAATTACATATAAATTATCTTTCTACTAAATGTGGGATTCTCCACTTTCTAAGCTACAATATAAACAAGCAACATGTATATATTTTTTTAAAGAAGTAACTTGTAACTTTTAAAATAAAAACTTGTAAGAAATGAATATAAAATAGTAATGTCGACAATTCATTCAATTTAATTCTTGATACATAAAATAAAAATAAAAACTTAGTTTTTGATTATTCAAAATCAACAACTTATATTTTTACAAAGTATTGGAACATAAAAAAAAATCAAACTGAAATATAACTTTTTTTTTAGTAAACTAAAATAAAACTTTTAAATATATAGAAAGAACAATTATAATTGTTATTTATGTATGAAGAGTTTAAATGAATATACCAAAGGAGCAAATATTGACAGGAACAATTTTAGATTTGATTAATGGGTATTTTATACTACTGAATAGATATGTATATATGAATATAAACTCAAAAGATTTAAAATTAAATTACACTGAATATTAAGTACATTCATCCATAATTAATTAATATTTTCATTTAATAAAAAAGCATTAATTAAGAACACAATTAATTTAATTTACTATTTGCATAATTTAAAAAAATGATCAATTAAGAAAAAAATTAATTTAATAAATTATCAAAGGCATGTGCATGGTTCACTATTTGCAGTTTTGAAATTAGTCTAGATAGATTGATTAATAGTATTTAGTTGAATTTTATCAGAACAACTAAAAAAAATGGGAATAAGAGGAGAATGTGTGAAAGTTGGAACAGACAGGCCCCTTGGTAGCCAAAAAGTCTACGGTCTCTCAGACAAAAACATTTATTCTGTCTCTTTCTCTTTTGAATTTTGATCATGATTCACTGCTACATTCATAAATAGTTAAGGTATAAGTTTTTCTTTTCTTTTTTTTTGGCTAATAAATTCTCTGTATTATTCTGAAGAACTAAAGAGGATGGCCAAGACCAACACTGGGAAAGGCGGTACCGGAGTTAGGCAGTACAACAAATCAGAACTTCCGCGGTTGAGATGGACTCCTCAGCTTCACCAACACTTTGTTCATGCTGTGGATCGCCTTGGTGGAAAAAACAGTCAGTTCTTTTCAAATATTAATGTTTTTTAACCTTTGCCTTCCCCTAACTAGCTAAGAAATTCTTACCAGAATTGAGTTTGCATAATAAGCTATTAGCACAGATCCTGTTCGAAAACAAGATTTTCGTTTGACTTTTAATAAAAAAAAGCAATATATATATATATATATATATATATATATAATAATCATGTGCTGAACGTACAGTTTAACTGGATAATGAATCACGCTTAAGAAATGATATTTAATAAATCTAAAATTGGAATCGTAATGTTTATGACCTGTTTTGAATATAAAAAAATCATGTGCTCTATTAATAAAGTACTGAATTCTGAGTTTTAGGCACCTTGACAGTTTTAAATACCGAAAGAAAATTATGAAACTGGTGTGATTCTGCACTACTTTTTTGATGTTCTAAGTAAATTTGCAGCTTGATTCATTCATAATTACTCTATGCCTTTACGTTACTAGTAGCAGAAGAAATTCTGAAACCTATAATTGCTACGTGTATAATTGATGGATGCAATCGATTGTTGGTTGAATTTGCAGAAGCAACACCGAAGCAAATATTGCAGATGATGAGTGTAAAAGGGCTCAGCATTTCTCATATCAAAAGCCATCTTCAGGTATACGATTTTTTTTAAAATTTTTATTAGTTCGAAAGTAAATTAACAATAATATTGGAAAAAAAAATCGTGATGAACCCAAAAGTAGTCCTCATCATTACAACAGAAAAAATCTAAAATCTATTGTAAATTTGCCTCTACAATCTAAAATCTGATCATAAAAGGTTTTACCCTGTACAATATTATGACCTATAAATTAAAAGTTTAGCCTAAGATAATTATTCTCCAAGTCTATAAATATATACACGTGTATATATATATATATATATATATCCTATTTGAATTAATATTTTTGGAATTTAAAAAGCACATACATATACAAGAACCTATGAAACTACAAGGGTTTCTGAAAGTTTTTATTTCCCACGCATTTCTGCTATCTCATTTGCCTTTTCTCTCAATTTATATATCTATCATGTGGGCATCAGATTTGTTCCAAACAGCTACTAATCTGTATTGAAGGGGGAACATTAAATTCATTTGTTTGTCAATTGTTTTTTTGGTATTTGAAATTGTCTGACATTGAATTTTAATTATTAAAATTAATTCCAGAACTATACCAACAAATCATACCTTCGTTGTTGACAAAAAATGGGTTTTATCTGTTTGTACATCTTTCTCAAAAAGTTATTTATATATTAAAATTTTTAGAAATTATAAACTGTCAAATTGATTTCCTCATTGTTTTAAGTTATTCATATTTTTTTCCCTTTCCATTCCCCTTCCATTACAAACAGAAAATAAATCAACCTTTTTATTCTGAGTACGTCTTTCATCAGCACAAGTTTCGTAAAACAATAGGGCTAGTTTATGTGCACCTTCATACCAAAAAAACACTTCAGAGGTAACTGATATGTAGGGCTTTTCTTTTTATTTGTATAGAGAGTGAAGCAGAGAACTACATTCACTTATTATCAAGTCAATATGTTTGGATTCAATGCAAAGCTTTGGGCTCCTGTAAAGAAAATTAAATGTGATATACCTGAAATTAAAGCCATATATATGTTTTATAGTACTTGAACACAGTAAACCACACATAGGATTGGGTAATTAATTACCTTAGATCATGTTTGATATATAAGATGATAGATATGATAAAATGATAATTATTTTATATTATATTTTATTTGTATCTAAAAAAATGGATAGGATAATAAGGAGAATTAATCATTCTCTTGATATAAAATGATTCAATCATTCTCAAATGGAAAAGGTTATTTTTAATCTATGTGATTAAATTTGCATGTCTTATTATATTATTAAAAATTATATTAATAGTTTAAATTATATAAATTTTGAAAAAAGATAATTTTAACCAATAAATAAATTATTTTATCTTAATCTTTACACAAATTAAATATAAGATAAGATGATATTATTTAATTTAATTATATTCTTAATATCATTTTATTCTATCTTATTATAATATTATATACCAAATACATCTTTAAACCCATGACCTTAATTTCATGATGGTCTCATAGAACTTGAAATGTTTCATGTGATGTTTAAATAAAGAATTTGGCATGCGTATGGAATTATGGATTAGGTATATATGCCATCTAATAAAGCAGGCTTCATCTTTAAAGTAAGTTAGATAGAGCGGGTGGGGGCTACTGCTTTAAAGTAGATATAATCAGCAGTCCCGCAAACTCTATAGATCCTAGAAATGGATTAATACCTAACCAGGTTTAATGTAACTTTCCAAGTTAATCTTAATCTTGTATTTTACATTATAAGGGGATTTGGGAGGTTGCAACCAAAAACAAGAAAAAAAAACACTGCTTATTACTTAAATCAACTTTTTTTATTAACAATCATATGATTTATTGGTAAAATGTTGAATTTTTTCTTCAATAATCAAAGTTCAATTCTTGAAAACATCAAGTTATATTAAAAAAAAAAAAAGGAAAAACCTTTCTTGTAGTTGCAAGCTCATTCATGGTGAAACTTCTTGTTAACATACCTTGTTTTAATTTTCTGCATCAACTTATGTGATTTTTTTACACAATGTGTCTTTCTTCATTTTCAATATTCTCCATGCATATGTATCTGCTTAATTATAATTCTTTCATATTAATGTGCATTCTTAGGCCATAAAAAGTCCAAGGTCGTACGCACATCCCTAAATTAGTCTTTTATTTGAGTAATTAAGCTAATAGTCACAAATAGCATAGTGTGATTTGATGCATTTTATATTTTGACATTATATTCTTACCCTCATTCCATTTTGATTAATCCCATAGATGTACCGGAGCTGGAAAGATAGTAAGAACATGGACATGTTTGTACCGGTGAGGCACTTGCGTTTTAGAAGATCACCATGCCTTAAACACAATGCAGCCCTCTTTACGTCAAATCGCGCATTATCTAAGAGGTAGTACAAACCAACCAAAAAAATATAAATTTCTGTTCAAGTCTTTAATTATTGCCGAAAAAATTTGTTCTTGAACTAAGACTTTTAGAACCATTAATATTACAGCAAAATTTCACAATCAATTGACCCAGTCCTTGTGTCCAAGTAGCTCAAATTTATTAAAAAAAAAAATTAGTAGATTTGATAATTGTTTTTATTTATTTTATATTAAAATATATTAAATTATTAAATTATTAAATTATAATTTTTTCGATACTTCAAATATAAAATAAATTTTTTATTTTATTAAACTAATACACTATTTAATTAAATTTTTAATATTTTAATTTAAATTTTTTTTAAACTTTTACCGTGATTAATGTTGGTTGCAAACAAGTCATCTAGAAAGTCTAACTTTTCTGACCCCATTTCTGCCCCCAAGGTAAGATTTTTCTTGTCGTGATTAATGTTATTTGCGAGCAAGTCATCCAGAAAGTCTAACTTTTTTGACCCCTTTTTTCCTCCACAGTTTTTCAGCCACTGATGTGATTTTTAGAAAATAAGCGTGCATCCCTTATCCACATTAATTGTCATGAGTCACCACCACATTCCCACTGAACCGAAAGCCTTTTCCAATGTCCATGTCTCTTTAATTTAAAATTTAGCAGAAGACCTTTTATGTTCATGAAAGCATATTAAGTTTGTCTCCAACCACATGGTTTATGCATGCCCTGCCATCTTTGTTTCACTGTAGAAAATTATTTCTTGGCATGACAAGAATTCAATTTATCTAATTTTCATGTCTTGGTTGGATGTTTAAAGGAAAATTTGAAAGATAAAGAATACAAATTGGAGAAAATTATGATTTACATTCCGGAGAATCATAACTTGTTACGATGTCAAACATTTTTAATTAATGCATTAGTACATTTGAGCATTTGACTCTATAGGTTTTTAATTTTTAAAAAGAAAAAATTAAATGTGTTTGGTGGGACTTGTGAGACAAAAATAATCAAGCAAAATATGGATATAAATTTTCCAATCACATGTGAGAACTTCAGCTTTGTTAGATTGGAGATTGTCAAACCCAAAATTCAATTGACCCATATATATGGCCTACGGAAGTCCTACCGAAACGTGAAACATAGAATTTTACTCTACTAGTTAATATTAAATACCCTTAGACTTAGCTTTTTATTAAGTTGTTCCTACACAAAGTTCATTCTATGAAGTATGAACAATTACAAATTTCCAAAAGTTTGGTGACATTTCCCTCAATATTAAGAACCCTTAGACTTAGCTTTTGCCAAGTTGTTCCTACAAAAAGTTCAATGACCAATTCCAAATTTCCAAAAGTTTGGTGACATTTCCCTCTAGCTTGGCTAATTGGTCTTCTATTTGAACTGCCCTTATACCGATATTTTAATTTATAGTACCAAAAAAAAAAGGGTTTGGCGGTCTAAACTCTAGATTAGGTACATTGGAATCTTGAGAAAATTGGGATTGGGGAGCGTATTTAATAGTTAGTTAAATCCTTCCAAGGGCTCATTTATAACTGGTTTGACTTGTCCTTATGTTTGTAGAGAAAGTCCAAACTAGTGGCGAACTAGGGCTACCCACCTCTCCTGGTTGAGATGGTGGTTCATTGACAATTTTATTTGCCTTCATATCCATCATTCTCTTAATTTTTTTTATTCTTATTTTAAAAAATAGTCGCAGTCTAAGGATCATTCGCCTAATTTTGTATAACTATTAAGGCATTCAGAATACTGGTTGAAGGGGATTTGTATTGGTTAGAGGACTGTCATGAGATGTCCGATGCTTTGCAGGGTAGTAGAAAATGAACACAAAGAGTGGGAATGCGAAGGGGGAAATTTTTCAAAGGAAAGCAATCATAGCCTTTTACAAATGGAAGAAGCAGCTAATCTCTTTCAGCATCAGCAGCAGGTATCAATCACATAGTAATGTTGCAAAATTTTTTTTTCTTGTGGCATCAACATGCAAATTAATTAAGATAATCACCCACTACACTAAAAAAAAGCAAAAAATTGAAAGCTAAAGGACTTATTTTACGTTTTACAGGACTTACAGCCTGCAAAAAGGTTGAAAGATGAAGGTATAATTGGAGGGTTAGCAGAAGTTTGTGAGCTCTCTCTATCTTTCAGTACTCCTTCCCCAGCTGTTACCATAAAAGAATCAGAAGATGAGAAAGGCTACTTTTACCCTCTAATAGATGATCTGATCAGCCACCCAACTTTCATAAGGACTTCAAAAATATCCAATAACAATTACATAAATTTGGACCTAACCATCTCAACCTCATTTCCCAATTGATCACACTTGGATTAATACTAAATTAATTTGTAGTAAAAAAATAGTTTTCTTCTTTTTTTTTAAGGAAACGACTTACTTGATACGATATGTATAAGCAGCTTTTTTTTTCTTTTCCTTAATGTAAAAGAACAGAAAATTTATAGTCTTAGATTAGATTATTCTATATATACACTAACTAAGATGGAGTTCAAAAACCCCACGAGTAGCCGATTGTAAAATTTTGTCCCATGTCTAACTATAAATAAAGATGGCCATATGTTTTATTTCTTTTTTAATTAATTATTTTTATTTTTTAATATATTTTAAAATGTATATGTCACTTTGCTAATTCTGTATGTGGAGTCTAAAAGTTTACTAGCATCCATTTCTTTTATGTAATTTGTCAGGAGAATCTATCACTTGCAATCCAGCCACAAGAAATAGTCCAAATAAAAATGTAAATTTTCTCTTTTTTTTTTTTACTAGTAATGGGGGCAAGATCAGAAAAATCCGATTAAGATATTCAGAAGGCAATGTTGGTGAACCAGCTCTTTCCATTATTTATTTTTTAATACAGCTATTATCACCACACCATTCATACGTATAAATTGCACCATCTATGATTGAATCTAAGGCCCATGATACAGGCCAACCTCACTCTTTTAAGCAGGGAGGTTAACCATGCCCAATGGAAATTGTTCTAATTTAACGATTGAAATTCATTACAGCATGTTCTATTTTGTCGCTCAACTACTACATTGAATTTTGTTTTTTTAATTTTAGCAAAAACACTGAACTTACAGAAATAAATTCTTAACTTTTAATTTATATTTAAATAAATTCTTAATTTTTATTTTGTATCCAAATCAATCATTAACCTTTAATTTATACTTAAATAAGATCTTAGTATAAATAAATATTTCATTTGAAATAAGAATTTATTTGGATATAAATCAAAAGATAAAGCTTTATTTAAGTATAGTTAAAGTATAAGAATTTATTTAAAAAAATATTAAAATTTTAAATTATATATTCAATGTAATATTTAAATTTTAAAAATTTTTAATATGGTAACTAAATTATAAATACGTTAATTAATATGATATTTAAAAAATTAATTTTTCGTCACGTATCATCATTTGAAATTAATCATATTAAATGTTAGTATCAAATTAATTAATAAATTTATAATTACTAAATTAAAAATTTATAAAATTTAAGTACCTCATTCACATTTCGTTGTAGTTTAAAAATCATTTATGATACTTACCTTTAAAAAAATAAAATAGTTCAAGAAATTTTTTAATATTTTAGTCATTTTTTTTCTACGAAATTGAATTTATGTAAAGACTTTTTTAATAAAGAGATTACAATCCATGATAAGAAAATGATTAAAAATATTAAAATTTGAATCATAATCATGATAAATATTGCTTTTTAAAAGTAGCTGTAACTTAATAAATCAATTAAAGTAAATTTCAGATTCTAATTATCTTTTTTTTTTTTCCAAACGAAAATAAATCAATCTTTAAAAATAGCACCAACAATACGGAGAAAAACCAGCCTGTGGCACTTTTACCTTTTTCATCCAGATTTCGTATCCAAGATCATATACAGATTTAGTCAATCACGCTTCAGCATTACGTGATGATTTGTCAGATTGAATCAGATATAGGACGGCTCTGTGGTTTTCAACTATACCTTCTATACCATTTACACTTTAACAAACCAGAAGAGAGAATGCACAGTACAAGGCATTAATCCTAAAAAAGAGGATTTTCTTTACCACTTTCGATGTACCCTTCACTGCCTCTTTGCTAATGTCTTCCTTAATCCCCTGATAATCTTTCCAAACCACATCAAGTTCATAACTGATAGGACTAATGGCACAACAAATATTAACAATTGCCCGTAGTTGTGCATCTGCTTAACCTGTTTTGAGGAGAAAACAACGGTAGGCTGTTAACTTGATGACCCAGCGGATTGATTTTGTCCAATAAAATATAAATGAAACAATTGTAGGATGATATAATGACATTTAAATGCCAAATCCATGTCAACATTTTAAAAACAAAAATATAAACCATCATCTTTTAATTTGTATCAAATAAACTTTTATTTCAAAGGAAAGATTGATTTATTTTAAGAATTTATTTAAGTACAAATTATAAGTTAAAGGTTTATTTGGATACAATAAAAATACAAAAGCTTTTCTAAGTAAAGGAGTAAAGTTTGTGTGCTTTTTTGGTTTTTTAACCTTTACGGTTTTATATAAAAAATTTACGACTGTCTTGAAGTGAACGCTGTTACCGACAGAAGTAGCTAGCAAAGAATAAACAAACCTACAGCTGACATCAGGTAAAGTTTTTTGGGAATTTTTTTACCTGATCATAGTGCAAGTAGAGGTGGTAAAATAGATAAATAAACGGGAGTATTCTAGCAACCTGCCAGGAAATCATCAAATTTCAGTATATCTAACTGCAAGATAAATTAGTGGAAGGATATCAATGCAAGCATTAACAGTATAAAGCAAAAAGTTTGAAAGTAACAAACATATTTCACTCACCAGCCATGTGACAAATATTACAACCCCATTAATTAAGTAAGCTCTTGATCTCTTCATTCCAGCTGTGTCAAGATACCTATATAAAACCAGAATATCCTTAACATAGTCTAAAACTAACATGCATTTTACAATTGACACGAAGGAGGAATGAACTAGTATATAGATAAGTTTTTACCATCTCAAGTTAATCCCCGGGGTTGTAGTCTCAGAGATGAGTATCATGAAGGTGTAAAGCTGACCTTCCCCAGTCAACATAGCATATGCTACAGCTGCTGCTGACAGAAGATGATGAAGGACCTGAAATAGCAACATTTCAGGTTGATTTACATCAGGATCAGATTGAACATCAATCATCACCAACTAGGTTTCTATAGAAAGAAGAAAAAGTAGGGCAAAATTCTAATCAAATAATAAAATACTTACAAACTCCATTCCACCGAGAGAAGGGTAAAACCAAATGATCATCCCAAGGTCACTAAGAAAGTAACCAACAGATACCTATCAAAAAATTTGTTAAAAAATGGCGAGTAAGATTATTTTACTTAAAGGTCAGCTAGAGGTGATAATATGCATACCTAGGGAAATGTTAACACAAAATGAAAACTTTTAGCAAGATGAATTTACAGCAATATTACTCCCTCTTGTACATATAACATGGCTACAATTAGTTTCAGCTGCATTAATAATTGACTTGATGGACAGAATGTAATTAGTCTGGTTGGTAAATAACATTTTGCAGCTTCTCTGAGTGTATTTGTTATTCATTTAGTTATTCATTTGATAGTTCAGTACACTGCAATATAAAAAGGCTAAAAGACTATAAATCCCCGTACTTTCCCAAATATAGGCCCCTATCCTTATTTATTTCTCAGATAAGGGCTCAACTGAGTACAATAAACAATAAGTGCTATTCTAAGAAATTTGAGAAAGTAAAGGTGTTTTTAGTATTTTAACCCTATCAAAATGAAGGAAAGCAATACTTACTACAACCAAATACTAAAACAAGCCCATTTTAGATATTGCATCCTAGCAAAAATATATGGATAGAACTACCAGGCATAAAGTGTTAGCAAATGTCAATAGAGTAAGAGCTATCAGCTAAATTTAGTTATCCTAGTCACGAGAATCAAAATACTAGGCCAAAAGGCTTAATTAGGCAGATATGCTCCTTAGGTCTGACTGTTCCAACTAACCATGCTCCAAACAAAGACCTGGACTACTTTGCTCTTTAACAGTAATTGCAAGGTGGTTCAAGAAACTCCATAGCCAAACCACAATCCCTGCACCAGATGTCCATTGTTTGACAATGATAACAGATACAACCATGCCTCGTGGCCATGAAAGATTAGAAACACAGGCTAAGATTGTACATTCATAGTGTCGGAGGCATAGCTTTTAATTGCAAATTTGCAGTCATGGTGAAATATGTTTGCTGTAAGCTAATTACATGCGACATAGGTGAAATTTATTCTGAAGAGTAATCTTCACATCAGAAGTGAATTGAGCCAAGCCTAGCATATCCCTACAAAAATTGAAACCCAGCTTACTATAAAGTTTCAATGCTAGAGTTTGACCTTGAGTTTGAGAAATGCACACTTTAAGCTTAAAGTTCAGTTTGTTAAAAATTTGCAAGATGGTATTAACATCAATGCATATTTTTTTCGCCATGATTATGTTGCTTGTTTCACACATAAATAAGAATTTTGGCAAAGGAGATATTTTATATATTGCTGGGACCTAAGAAACCAAATTGCAGAGAGCCTTAACACATCAAAACGAAAGAATTGCACTATTGCAGGCATAATCAAGGATGGCATATTACATGGATAAACATATGATAGAACTCTTCATTGCTGTTCCTAGTAAATGGGAGATCAATTTCACCAGAAAAAATCAACAGCAATTGACAATTATTTGTCCTATCAATGGCAATGACCCCTACATTATTTGAATTTATGAAATAAAATCGTATTAGAAATATTTTCGTTCACAAGAAATTTAAACATTCAGGGAAGAAAACACTTAATTGCTACTTCTAAACGATACACTACACATGCTAAAAATAAACCATTCTGGAGGAATTTATGTTCCAAAGGGCATGACTAAAACAATTATCATGAAGACATGTTATTACAGGCAAGGCATATCAACTTCTTAATAATATCCAATATTCTAAACCAAGAATAAAAGACCAATTATAAATGATTAAATATTATCTCAATTGCCAAAGTTTTCCTCCAAGATGAAAAGAAAAAGCTATCCTCACCCCCAATGTGAATGTAGACAGTGCAGAACTGCGGAAAGTAATAAGGCTACCATGTTGGTGGTCAGAATATAGATTTGACCAAAACACAAAGTATAAGGACATAACTGTTATGAAAATGGCATGAAAAGTTGACATGGATCTGCATAAACCATCCAGACATTAATTCTGTTTCTATATAAATAAATAATAATAACACATTCAAGCTAACTAGAAATATCAGTCACCGGTTGCTCCATTCAGTGCGTTGGACTTTGGACAGGCTGGGATAGCTCTTAAAGTAAACATTGCTAAACAACTGGGTAACATCATAGACCTGGAAAATGATAATGGTCAAATTTTGGGGAAAAAAAAGAAGGGAAAGAAAGTAGAAGAGAAATAAAAAAAAAAAAGGTTTAAACAGAGGAAATGAGAGAAATAACAGTAAAAACTAAAAAGAAACAAAAGCTCAATGAAAAAGAATCATCATTAAAGAAAAAGATAAAAAAAATTAGAATAATATAGTTGCCAATCATCATTCTAACTCAACTGAATTATTTTCAAACTAAATAATGAATCATAAAATTTTGATTAGAAAGCATACCATCTTGGAAGCACAAATGCCACAAATAACTGATGTGTATGGGATGAAGGAATCTGCCAGTAAATATTCCTTGACTAGCTGCTCAGCCTGATTTTGGTAAGATTTTATCTCCATAGTTTCCTGTTTAGAAACCAATATTAGAGCAAATTCCTCAAACAATCAGTCTTTGAAGATGAATTTTCTGTAACCTCTTCGATTCTGTTTTCTTCTCGTTCTTCATGATGAATAAGATTTAAAACCGTTTTAAGAAAAGAATGAACACCATAAAAAAATAAAAATAAAAAAAGGAAGAAATTCTATGCTCTGACTATACTTTTAATTTAAATCGACTATCAAAATATAGCATGCACCACTTTGCATTCTCATCTAAGCAAGGAAAACAGTATGAACCACTTTGTTCGCTATATATGAAAGACAATAAGAGAACAATATTACTATTTTGAAGGACTTCATTTTTTTCATACCAATCATCTGAAAAGAGGAAAGTTGGGGGGCAAGAGGAGGATGGCTATGATGGGAAAATTGGAAAATGTACACACTAAGCACTCAAAAGAGAATTAGCAATTCAGTATCCAATTTATAATGGGCATATCCTCAAAGTCGTTTAGCAACATTTTTAATAAAAAGTTGGGGGGGGGATTAAACATTTTTAAACATTGCAGGAAAAGCATATCTAATGCAACAAGAAATTCCTTCAGAGTTCAGGGGGTATAAAACATGCCAAGGCATCAAATACAAATAACATGTACGATTAATTCATTTCAATACTTAATGCTCCATTCACGTCAATGGTGGTTCAGGATTCTTTCCCCTACAAAAAAAGTTCAGTTTCCATTGTTTCTTGGCAAAATGTTATTCGAGTTAAAAAAAAAATTCAAATGATGCAAAAGCACGATAAAAACAGCAAAAGAAAACCAAGCTTTTTCATTAATCTTTTTGTAGCTATTGATACAATTACTTCACATCGTCAAACTAATCACGATTTTTAATTTATTCTCCTTAATCTGTTGCATCAATTAGTCTTTTAAAATCCTAAAAAATGAAATTAAAAGTTAAAATACCACTGATTTATTAGAAAAAAAAAAGTATTCAACATAAACATCAATGCAAAAAAATCAAGAACGAACCATCAAATTAACAACTAAAAATAATATGGAAACCACAAAAAAAAAATCAATGATACAACTATCAAAACCAAAATGATTATGCAAGAAATGAAAAAACAAAATTAAAATTATTCGAAGAAAAAAGAAAATGAAGGAGAGGATAATAGGATTACCAGAATCGGATAAAAACAATAACCGTAAATTGGGGAAGAAATCAGGAAGGGCAAAAAGGAAGAGATGGATGATGTTGCATTCCTTAAATAATGTAGTTGTCTTTTTTTATGTTTTAATTTTTGGAAATAAATAGAAATATATAGGAATAAATAATAATACTTTGCACATTATTGTTATTATTATTGATGATTTTATGCGATTCCGATCATGTATGGCAATGGTTTCATTACTACGGAAAAAGAGAAGCAACGCCGAAAAGAAGGGAACCAATTAAGAACTCACGCAATCTAAACTAAAACTCAAAATGGATCTTTCAAAGAAAAGAAGAATGCTTTCTGATTAAGCCAAACGCCTCGCATCTATTCCATTCTCTACACAAATATTATATCCAAGGAAAGAAGATTCATTTTTAATATATCACCTTCTAAGAAGTTAATTCTAGTTATATTAGTAATTTTTATATAATATATAAGAGATAAATGTTAAATTTATTTTTCTATAGTTTGAGGATTCTATATTTACCATTTTAATTTTTTTTTATATAATTTTACCATCCAACTATTTTATGCAATTTAAAATATCTATTAATGAAAATATAAAATTTTATCTAAATTAAAGAATATTCTATTAAAAATTTTAATTATTTTTTTAATTTTTATTATATGAAAAATAAAAATTACTTTATTTAAAATTCTAAATAAAGGTAATATAAATAAAAATAATTAATTTTTTCCTAAAAATACCAACAATGCAATTTATTTTTTTATTTAAAAAATAATCTTATTCCTCCAAAATTTTTTAATAACAAATATGACAAATAAAAAATTAATTAACAATGTCACTTATTTAATATATAATAAATAAAGATAATATCAATAATTAAATAAAAATAAAATAATTAAATTATTTTTAAATGCCAACAATGTCACTAATTATATAAATGGTATTTTTAAATAAATTATTTATTGCAAAATTTTTGGGAGAATAAGATTATTTTTTAAATTAAAAAATGAATGCATTTACTGAAATATGTAAAGTAAGAAATTGATAAATTTATTTATAAAAAATAATTTTATTATAATTAAAAAGTACTAAAATAAAAAATGTTATGGAATTTAAGTTAAAGAAATTCGTGATCATTAGAAAATGAAAGAAAAAAGCACAAAATTTTTTTGAGTATTTTTATATTGTAATTTAAGTTTCTGAAAAATTCACTAGTTTAATATTCAATGACTCCAAATACTAATCACTAAAAAGGTTAAATTAATATACCCTTGATTTTTATTTTAATTTACAAAAAAGACAAAAATTATATAGAGTAAGGTCGAATACTAAATTTGAAGTAGCTACATAAATAAATAATAATAATGTCAAGTAAATGATAAAAATGTAAGAAGATTACAAGTTTATTTCAAAAATCAATTAGTATAATGATGTATGCATTTGATTAAAATTTAATTACTTAAAATTAATAAAATAACTAATAATCGAAATTGTTGATTGAAAATATAACTAATAGTAAAAAAATAATTTAAAAATAACATTTATTTTTTTCTAAATTTTTTATAAAATTTGATTTTGTGGGAAAATGAATGTGAAAAAATGGTTATAGGAAGAAAATATCTTTTAGTAAAAAAATTATTAAGTCGAACCTCCTTGATAATGAATGTTGTCAAATAATTTCACCATTTGATTCAGTTTTATAATATTGTGGATTTGTGGCATGTCGAATAACATAAATTTATAAAAACAAAAAAAAAAATTCAACATAAAGAAAGAAATGTTAAAAAGAAAAAAAAGTAAAAACACAAAAGTATTTTTAAGTATATAATAAAACCGATTGTAGCACTTTTAATGATAATCAAAATTAAATGATTAACAAAAATTATAATATTAATCTATGGATTGAGTTAGAACTTAGTTAATTAAAATTAATACCGAATAGAATTGTTAATCGATTGTAATATTATTTTTTATAAATATTAAATTCAAAATAATTCAAAACAAAAAATGACATTTTAGAAATATAATAAATAAATTTATTTATTTTCGTCCGTTCAAATGATTTTTCATGTCCGTACAAAACAGATACTTTATAAAAATAATAAACAAATATTTCTATGTTGGTTCAAAAGATTCCCACATTGATATGTTATTGTAATATTGCACTCGAATTTTATTACTTCTATTTAACAAAAAAATTCTTAAATTTTAGTGTCTTATACTCAAAACAGTTTTTTTTAACCCATACAAGATTTTTTTATTATATTTTTATAATTTTAAATAGTTTTTTAATTCATTCTAATTTTTTGTATTCTTTTCTTCATATATAATATAAAAATGAGTATGAATTAAAAAATAATGTTTCATTTCTATTTTATCTTTTTTTTATCATTGTAATAATATGGAAAAAGGGTTAATTTTACGTTAAAAGCTTCATTAAAAAATAGATCAGGATAAATTTCATCAAGCAGCACCAACCTTGCTGAAATGCCAGAACATGAATCTGTGAAGAACAGAATGAAAGAGTAAAATCTAATCGATACAGACATCACTTTCTTCTAGGCTTGTAAGGCGCACCACCCTGCTTTGCAGAAGATGAGGTTGATGAGGATGAGGGTGACAAAGCACAAAACCTATTATTATTGTTATTATTATTCTTTTGATCAGCTTTGTCCTTGTGAAATGCCTCCAGCAGCTCCTCTTTCAGTTCTGTGAATCGCCTTTTCTTCCTTATCTGCTCTTCTGAACTGCCTTCTTCAAATAAGGAAGCATCCGACATATCATCCACCAGAAACTTGTCTAGCACTTCTGAACAATGCGGAAAGTATCGCTTGCCAGTTTCCACTGCCATTTACAGTTTAAAATTAATATGACGTCGAATGGTAAAAATTGGTTTCTTTCGTTTTTTTGGTTTTTTAGTTAGGAGGCCGTAGCAGGAAAAGGATTACAACTGTTAGGATACCAACTTCAGTCTTGCTAGATGCCACCTTGAGAATGATAGCATAAATAATAATGAACTAAGTTTCGGATTCAAAATTAGTTTGTTTCAGTGGAAGAGAAACAAGATTAATTACTGCAAATTACAAAGTAGGTCATGTGGATGATGGTACCTGTTTTAATCAGGGTTTGCAATCTCAATTGAAGCCTTTTGGTCTGTATGGTAGGTGATTCATTCAAATCAACTTTCCTCGTGTTTGAATCTGCATCTGCAATTTCCATAGCCACCTTGGCTTCCGCAGGATACAACAACAGTGCGAATGAGACTGACAAAAGCAGGAAAATTTACTAGCAGTCACATTCAACAACTACAAGAAACAACAATCTTGGCTGAAAACACCAAGTACAAGTATCAACTTGTATAATTTTGCAGCCCACCTGGCCTGGGAGTTCTACTTCAGTTTCGGAGTTTCAGGGTCCTAGTTCTTCTAGTTGTGATGAAAATAATCCTCCATCAAAATTTTCAAAATTCTTACCTCGATTTTCATAGTAATCCAGTTTCATGTGTAAATCATCAGCTATCACTTGTGATGAAATTCCCAGATTCTCAGATTCTGAATTCCGCTCTCTCTCAAGGATACCAATGCATAAACGATCTTTATTGGATAGCTCCCCCTGCTTTTTGTTCTCATTATAATCCTTGAGCAGAGTTAGTCTCCTGCAAATAGAAGCGGCAGTTTGGTCATCAAATGTAGTTTCTGCCACACAGGCTCCCTTGTTCAGCAGTGCCACCAGCACTGATGGTTCCTTGCGTCTTGCAGCGACATGAAGAACTGTGTACCCTCGGGGGTTCCTGAGATTGAGATCAGCCAACCCAAGACTAAGCAACTCATTAACAATCTTCGGATCACAGTAGGCAGCAGCATAGTGGAGTGCATAAGCATCATCTAATGTGACATTGGATTCCTTCAGAAGAAGCTTGACCAATTCAACATCATCAGAATCCAGTGCCTTGAGGATTCTCCTGATTCTCTTTTCAAGGATTGGTGAGTCTAACTCCACTACACCAGGCTCAGCCTCTTGCTGAGGTTTGAGACGTAGTGACCTGATCATTCCATAAACTTCCTGAGGCAGTTCTTTCTCTAGACATACAACATCAAGATCCGATACTACCACTTTTTGGATGCAGTCAGATAGAAGCTGGTTAAGCTGATAATGAAACGCTGCCACAAGAATTGGGATTACGTCTTCCACAAGCGCCTTCTCAACAATATCCAGAAGATGGCGCTTCATTAATTACAGGAGGAAGTTGAGTCAGAAACATCTTCCAAAAAACTACATCATGGTCATTCAACTATAGTTGTGTATTTAAAATAATTATTTAACTACAATTTTTTTTCAATTTAATCATCAAAATTTGAGTAAATATTTTTTTATTATTCAACCATTAGTTTTTAACGGGTTGCTAATGTGTTATTACATTAGCAAATTTTTTTTTTCAAAATTTATAATGATGTACCGGTAATGCCAAGTGCTATATCATATGACATGACACTAACACGTGACACTTGACAGCTAACGTAAAATTATTATATTAGTATGTCATTAAAGACTAATAATTAAATGATCGAAAATCTAATAATTGATTAACAAAAGAAAAATCACATCTTCAAATTTTATGATTAAATCAAAAAATATAATAATTAAATGATCATTTTAAAAATACGATCATAATTATGAGACCAATAATATATTTTACTTAAAAAGAAACAAATACCAAGAGCCAAGTCTATCATTCATCAACATAAAATACCCAAAAAGGAGACAAATCATCGCTTGACTATTCTAAAAATGTATTAAAATGAGTAGAAAATTAAACGAAATTAGAAAGCACAGTTGTTACAAACACAGCAATGCTGGTCATTAGAATATGGTTATAAACAAATTTGTAATGCTAGCTTTGGCACATACCAAAAGATAGAAAAAGGAAATATCTGAAGCATTCATGCAATAGTTGAGTTTGATAACTGAATATAGCTAGCATCGTTACATAATAATCGATGCAGTACTATAAGTACCAAATTTGACACCTTAATTTGGACTAATTATTAAAGCTTACCTCACATTAGGACCTGAGACAATGTTAGGAACTAACCTTTTTAAATCAAAACTTTTTTTCTTTTTTAGCTTTTAATTTGTTAAGATGTGAAACGATGAAAATACCCTTGAATTGGACAAACCAACATGAAACTTAGAAAAATAAGATGAAGAAGCCTCAATCGACACGCACCAATGTTGATCCAGTTTGGCAAAGTCGCCATAGACACACTCTTGTGTCCATCAAGTGGGCAATTTGAGAGGAAATTCAAATTTTCCTCTGTTTTTATCCAGATTTTTGAAATTATGAGAATGCGATTTACTAAAACTTCATTTGAAATTCAATGAAGCTTTGGTTTAGTGTGTTTAGAGTATTTTTTTCAGCTCAATCTCAACGGACCACCGTTTGGCTAATATGTAAAATGGTGACATTGCTTCCTTTGGCCCGCACCGAAGCTTTAAATTTCACTGGAAGGGAAGGGGCTCCATGGGCTATTAACCCTCGAATTAGATAATTTTATCCTCGTTAAATTATATTTTTCTTACAATTATACCCTTAATTTTGTAAGTTTTGAACTGAACTATTCTTATTAAATTTGAAAATTATACATCAATTTTATAAGTGTTTGTATTCAATTATTTACAACAAAATATTATTATAAGAGAAGGGATAAGCTTACACAGAATAAATTTTTTTTAGATTTATACATTTTTCTGATTTTTAATTTTAATAGATCAAAGCGGTAAAAGAGATAAATAAAAATAAAAAATAATTTAATTTCATCCCTTAAATCCATTAAAATCAAGGATTAAAAAAATGTGTAAAACAAAAAAAATTTTATATCATGTCAGTTGATCCCTTCTTTTATCATAAAAGTAATTTTAATTATTTATGAATAAAGTTATTATTATAAAAATAATTTTAATAATTTTTAATTATTAAAATTATGATTTGATATAAAAATAAATTTAATTATTTTAAATTATTTTTTTATATCATACATATTAACTAAATTTATTATATCCAAATTTTAATCTTATGTCGACAATGATAATTTTTTCTTTTCATTACATTTCATTTCGTCGTCACCGTTACTTTTAAATCTAAACACTTATTCCATCACTGATTTGAATCTTACCACTACAATATCTAATCTCATCGATATAGTAACTAATCTTACCTCTATCGTTATTTTTAATTTTATCAATACAAATCTCATCATTCATCTAAATAAATCTTAAGATAATTATCCATTAGATTAGGTTTGAATTGTCGATTAATAGAGTCCTTCTTCAATCAAAATCAACTTAGTTAAATAAATCTTGCCAAAGGTGAAGTGTCGATCAAGACTTCCTAATGTCGATCAAAACTTATACTAAAATTTCATATTTATTTGATTTTTATTAAAATTGTCAGATTATAATCATCCTTTTCATTATTATCAGTTTCAAATTCTAATAAATGTAAAGATTTTTCATCAAATCTGAGCCTTTCATTCACTTTGATTTTGATTGTCAAATTCATTTCACTTTGGTTATAAATAAAAAACTGTAGTTTATGTCAACTCATACAAGAACGTTTTTTTTAAAATCTCTCGATTTGTTCGTTATTCACTTTCGTCTCTTTTCTTAAGATACTCTCTTAAGAATTTTTAACCTAAGCCTATTGAAATTCTAATCTAAAGTGATTCGAATCCAACAGTCAACGACCCAAAAAGTACTATGGTATTCTAGGTCTAAAAGCAGTTTTGAGTCAAATGAACCGACAATTGAAATGATACTACGATATACAGGTCCAAAAGAACCTCGATCCAGAGGAAACTCTTCCAAATAGCTAATCCACCGAAACTTTGTTGAAGAGTCATAGTTCCATTGAAATTCTGTCCAAAGAATTTTAGTTTCACCGAAACTTTGTCCAACAATTAAGTTCTATCAAAACACCACCTAATCATCTTCATTAACTATCAAGATAAATTTAATTCTTTAAGCATAATTTAAGATATAGAGCCCATCACGAAATGTATGCCATGTAGATAATAAATATTTCTTTTTTCTAAACCATGAACAGCAGAACACCAAAAAGAAAGAAGGTCCCCTTATAAAATGCTTAAAGCCTAAAAAAAAAAAAGTAGACCCCTAAACAAGCACAATTTATTAACCACACTCAAAACTGTTGGGCTTGGTTTCTTCTATGTGGAGGTGACCTGAAATCAAAGCCCATACACCAAAGACTTTTTAGTGTTTTCATGCTTAGTTATAAAGTTTTAAACCCTTATATAATAACATTATATGGCTGAACAAGAGTCAAGAGGTATGGCAGCAAAATAGAAAAAGAGAAAAAAAGGTTTGTGTAGTTTTGATCAAGTAGCTTGATCAAAGCTCAATCCGTGGTATGATTAAGCTAAAATTTTATCAATGTGTTCATAATAACTCATCGTTTTTCAGTCTGAACGGTGAAGATAAGGTTTCGAGTTTTCTACCTACTAATTTCGTAGGTGTTTGTTAATCCCTAACTTTGGTGAGACTTCTCCAATTTTCCTTGGCAAGATTCTCTTGACCAAGATTGTTCAATCTTGAGATTTATAGTTGCATATCTCTAGTTCTAGCTAAAGAGAACTTTGTGTTCCCATTATTTTGATACTGGAAATTATTTGTTGCTTTTTGTCATTTTTACTTCTCGTTTTGAGGAAGTTTTCCACATAAAATTGCTTATATCCTTGTGCTTGTGGTTTTGTGATTTATTTGTTAGCTCTATTTGTTTGATTCCTGCTACAAAAGAAACATAATTTGATTTTTCATTGTATGACCTATTCAATTTAAATATTATTTGAGGTTATTTTATCCCATCAAAGTGGTGTCAAAGATTAGGTTATTTAATTTATGGCTTGTGTTAAATAATCGAAGCCAATACAAATAGAATGATTAGTTTAAATATTTCAAATTACTATGTGTGGAAAGGGAAGATGGAAGACTTGTTTATCTGAAGGATTATTATTTACTCGTGTTTGTCATTGAAAAGCCTGAAAATAAAACAAATGTAGAATAGAATTTATTTCATCGACAGGTATGTGGTTATATTAGACAATAGGTAGATAATAATATTTTGAACCATGTTAGTAGAGAGACACATGCACACATTTTGTGAAACAAGCTTGAGAAGTTGTATACTTGAAAAACTGAGAATAATAAAGTGTTTTTAATTATGCAATTGATGAGTTTGAAATATTAGGATATAATTCTTATGACAATCACTTGAATGCATATCAAGGCATTATTAATCAGTTGGCTAGCATGAATCTTAATTTTGAAGATGAAATATAAGGCTTATGGCTTCTTGCACTTGTCAAACTCATAGGACACGTTTAGAACAACATTATCTAACTCAACCCCAAATGATGTCATCACTAGGAATTTGGCTAAGAGTGGTGTTTTGAATGAAGAGATAAAAAGAAAGTCACAACGTTCCTCTTCACAATTAGAGGTCTTAGTCACAAAAAATAAAGAGAGGAGTAAAAGCAAAGGTCCAAAAAACAAAAACAGAAACAAGAGTAAATCCAACAAATTTGCCAATATTGAATGTCATTATTGTGGTTTGAAGAGGCATATAAGAAAATATTGCTGAAAATTGAAAAAAAAACAATAATAGTGACAAGAATAAAGAAAAAAAGAATGGCGACGGTAATGATGCCAATAATGTCACAAATAACTTTCTTTTTTTATATGATGATGAGGTTGTTAATCTTGTATGCCATGCGAATAGTTGAGTGATTGATAGTGGTGCCACAATTCATGCTATATCTCGAAAAGGCTACTTTGCATCTTACATACCTGGTGATTTTGAAAGTGTTAGAATAAGTAATGATGACTCAACTAAAGCCATTGGTATGGGAAATGTGTTCTTGGAGAACAATAATGACACTACGTTAGTCTTTAAAAATTTTAAACATATTCACGATATTCGCATGAATTTGATATCTATAGGGAAACTTGATAATGAAGGGTTTTGCAACACTTTTTATTATGGCCAGTTGAAGCTCACTAAAGGTTCTATGATTGTAACTAGGGGTACGAAGTGTTCCTCATTGTAGTTGATGCAGGCAAAGGTATCTAATTCCATTATCAATGTAGTAAATAATGATGATACAACTAAGTTTTGACACAAGTAACTTAGTCACATGAGCATGAAGGGT